TCTTGTTGTGTAGCTTCTTCATCAGCCTTGTCTCCATCTGGTGTAGCTTGGAGTGTGGCTTCTTCATCAGTCTTGTCTCCCTCCTGTGTAGCATCTTGTTGTTTGTTTTCTTCACCAGCAGCTTTGTCTCCTTCCGTTGTAGCATCTTGTTGTTTGTTTTCTTCACCAGCAGCATCGCCCCCCTCCGCTGGAGCATCTTGTTGCGTGGCTTCTTCATTAGTCTTGTCTCCCTCTGGTGCAGCTTCTTGCTGTGTGTTTTCTTCACCTTCCTTGTCTTCCACTGGTGCAGCTTCTCGTTGTGCGTCTTCTGGATCATTCTCGACTTTCGCCGTTTCATCATTTTTGTTTGACGTGTCTTCTGTTTCTGTGTTTGCTTGCTGATGATTTTCATTATTGGGTTCTGTGTCAGTGTTCTGTTCAGGTGATAAATTAATTTTGGCAACCATCGCTGCAAGACCTCTAGAAGGCGTTGGCTCTTCTGATTTATTTAAATCTGTATCCGTATCGGTTGTGTCGCCCATACTAATAAGAATAAAAACAAACTAGAGTAAAAATGTACACTACTTAGTGTAGAAAAATTAATAATAAAGTAACTCAAGACATGACCTTGAACTTTTGTTCTTTTAATATGCAAGATGTAACGATATATACTTTTTATGAATTTGATGAAAACGAATTAAAAAAAAAGAAAGATAGAAAACTTGGAAAGTTAAACAATATGCGTAACGACTTTTATATTATTAGATAATGAAACTTGTCATTCTTTTATTTGGTCAGACAGAAAACGACAAAAGAATTTTGATAAAGTCTCATGTTTTAATTGTTTTCGCAAAGTGTCTATTATCTGTAAAAAAATGGTTTAGGACTGATATCTCTTGTTAATATTTTTTCCCATCAAAACTATTGAAGCACACGGCAGAATTTCTTGTGTTACTTTGTAAAGTAAATACAGTCACTCTACTTTCTCTAGAAATATATACTATTCTCTTTTAGAAAATAAATCATACCTGAATGAAATATTTTGTTTGAATGTAGATATAATATTTTATTCAAAATTATTTAATGTTCGTCTTCTCTGCAGTAGATGTTACTGTGTCGTGTTGAAAGACAAACTTTGTTTAAGGTAAATTATCTTCACTGTGGCTTCACTGATATGTTGGTTATGTGCCTTTTATGTGTAAGAACAAGTAGTAGCGCATTGTCTCGTATCTCTCTACGAAGAGTGATATCGGGGAAAGAAAAAGATAATATTGCACTACTTAACAACATCTAACAAATACATAAAGAATGATAGAAAAAAATTCATCTTATGACATTTTTCAATATACTACACAATTTATATTTTAATTACAAAAAATATCATCATTTTGGATTTGTAAATCTATTTATCTTTCAAATATTTTCAAAAAATAGTCAACGACGCCATTAAAAAGAATATTATATATTTATTTATAACTACTTAGAATAGATTCGATTAATTATTACGAGAAATATATAGATAAGAACTAGAGTGTCAATTTTTCAGACCTAGAAATTGATATCACATTGAAACTTTATATACCATCGAGTTAAATCTTAAAACATCGAAGACAATGTATGTGAAATAAGTGTAATCCTTTATTCAAATTATAGTTAATAAATAAATAGCAATGAGATTCATGAATATTTAAGTGTTGTTATGATAAAGAATAATGGTATACGTTGAAATATAGTCCTCCGAGACATGACATTATTATATTGAGTCATAACCTAAGAATAGTTTGGTTTAAATAAATAACTGTATTTATTTTATCAACACAGAATCTATATAGATAAAAAGAATACACCTAGAACTATGTATTTTGAATATATTTGTCCAGATATACCAAAACTAAATTATATCTGATGAATCAATTTTATATATTTGTAATCATGAAATTTGTAATTTAGATCAATTGTTTATTCAACGGTTTGTTTATAACAAATATTAATTTCAAAAAAAAAGAAGTAAGTAGAGTCGAATGATACCGCACGCACGACAAAAAGATTTTGTTCTATTGGTGTAAAATTCTAACCAATAATAAGTTATTTGATTAATCATCTGACATCTATTAATAGTCAAATAAAACGAACAACATACAGTGTATTCTATTCATCATTTTAGATTAAACAAATGCCACCTCCAGCAGCAACAACAACATCGGCTAAGCCGATCGGTGATGAACAAATTCCAAATGAAAATGGTTTATCAACCGATAAAAATCTTTCATTATCTATATCTCCATTGAATAAAATTGAAAAAGTTGTCGTTCATCCACTTGTACTTCTTAGTGTTGTTGATCATTTTAATCGTATGGGTAAAATAGGAAATTCTCAACGTGTCGTTGGAGTATTACTTGGTTCGCTTAAAAATAAAATTCTTGATGTTTCAAATAGTTTTGCATGTAAGTTAGATATATATTTTTCTAAAAAAAAAATTTCTTTTGTCTTTTTTAGTACCTTTTGATGAGGAAGATAAAGAAAAAGAAGTTTGGTTTCTTGATCATGAATATTTGGAAAACATGTATACTATGTTTAGAAAAGTTAATGGTAATATTTCATTATTCGTTTTATTTTATTTCTTAAAAAATAAAATTTTGAAATTTTAGCACGTGAACGTATTGTTGGATGGTATCATACAGGTCCAAAATTAAATCGGAATGATATATCAATTAATGAATTAATTCGAGAATATCATCCTGATTCAGTTCTTGTTATTATTGATGCAAAACCAAAAGATTTAGGTCTACCCACAGAAGCTTATATTGCTGTTGAAGAAATTCATGATGTAAAAATACATATTTATTTATTTAAACAATTATTTAAATTGATATTTATTTAATAGGATGGAAGTCCAGCATCAAAAACATTTGAACATTTACCATCAGAAATTGGTGCAGAAGAAGCTGAAGAAGTCGGTGTTGAACATCTTCTTCGGTAGGTTAAAAATATATTCTCTAATCAATTATGATATTCATTAGTTAATGATTCTAATCTTTTTTTAGTGATATTCGTAATGCAACAGTTGGTACATTATCACAACGTATAACAAATCAATTAATGGGTCTTAAAGGTTTAACAAAAAGTTTATATGATGTTCGAGCATATCTTGACAAATTATTAGCAAATAAATTGCCACTAAATCATCAAATATTATCACATATTCAAGATATGTTTAATTTATTACCAGATGTAACACAATATGATTTAATAAAATCGATATATGTTAAAACAAATGATGAAATGTTACTTGTTTATCTTTCATCATTAATTCGCTCAATAATAGCATTACATAATTTAATTATGAATAAAATTCAAAATTCTGATGCTGAAAAAACCGATAATATACCAGCTACAACAACAACAACAGCAAATACAACAGCAGCTAGTGGTGATAAGAAAGTAGAAAAAGGAAGCGGTGATAAGTCAACAACAAATGGCAACTCTAGTTAAAAAACATCTCCTTTGTCTTGTTGTTCTTTTCTTTTATTTGAATAAACTCGAGCTCGAAAGAGTCAAAAAATAAAAAAGAAATATATTTAAAAGTTAATACTTTTTTTTCTAAAAGAAAAATCTTTAAAACAAGATCTTTTACTTTATATATATATATATTTCTAGAGATAATCGAATGCAATTACGTATCCTCACATTGAATATTTGGGGTGTGCGCTATTTGGCGAAACTTATTGATGAACGTCTCCAAGCATTAGTTACTCATTTAATTAGTCCAGAAGTTAATTATGATATTATTGGGTTACAAGAAGTAAATTAAATGAAAAAAAAATTTATTTAAACTATTTTTTTGTTGTTGTTGTTGTAATAGGTATGGAGTAAAACTGATTATCTATATATACGTGATCATATAAAAAATATTTATCCGCATAGTTATTATTTTTTAAGTGGACTTTTTGGTTCTGGTTGTTGTATGTTTTCAAAACATCCTATTATTGGTGTTTACGAACATTTATATACTTTAAATGGTATGAGAAAAATTTTCACTGAATGTTTCTTCGTTTAAAATTAACTGTCATTTTTTTCTTGAGCCATAAATATTGATTTATTTATATTTATTTTTGTAAGAAAGATCGACTAAAAAATACTTTCAGGTTTTCCACATAAAATTCAACATGGCGATTATTTTGCTGGTAAATTAATTGGTTTATGTAAAATTTTAATAAATAATCATGTAATCAATGTATATAATACACATTTACATGCTAATTATCATCATGTTGTACCAAAAGATATCTATTTGGGACACCGAGTATGCCAAGCATATGAATTAATTCAATTTATTGAAAGTACATCATCAGCTGATACAACACATTTAACTATTCTTTTAGGAGATTTAAATTTAACAACAAATGATTTAGGTTTTCAACTTATTCAAGGTGTACTTCAATTTCATGATTGTTTTCTTGATCGTATCAATAAAGTAAATTGAAAATGAATTTATTTTATATAAAAATTACTTTATGTTTTTTTTTGTTAGGATATTTTTGATCCAACCGTTGGTAATAATGGCTTTACATGTGATATACCTGGTAATCCATATGTTAGCCCACATCCACATCATGGTGAAGGTGAACGTATTGATTATATACTTTATCGAGGTCGAAATGGTTTGTAAAAACTTTATTTTTTTTGTAAATTAAATTAACTGTTTGAATTTATAGATAATGTTAAATGTCTTGAAGCATATCCAACATTACATAAAGTTCCGAATAATTTAAAGGGACTTCATTATTCTGATCATTTAGCTATTTATGCTTTACTCGAAATCAATGATGAAATTCCCGAAAACAAAAAAATAAAACCACTTGAAAATATGGAAATAACTGATGAAAAAACACGAACATTACTTTCAGATGCTTGTATTATCGTTGAAGAAACAATTCAACGTATACAACGTCAACGAATGTTTTGTACATTTGGTGTATTTATTCTTGTTTTTATTTTATTTTCAATTAATGGAAATCCACTATCAAATAGTTATCTTTATACAATATTTACAATTATAAAAAATCTTTTTTGTCTTATTGGCATAGCAGTATCTATTTGGTTTATCTGTTTGGGTAAACCTGTTGAACGAAATGCTTTAAGTTCAATACAAAATGCAATGCGTATACGATTACAAGCACCACATTTTACATATTAATCATTCCTTCTTTTTGCTAAATACGTTGAATGAGTTTATAAACGCAATATTTGTATATTAGTATAGTGCATATATTTAGTTATTAATTTATCTATAAGTGTTTGATAATCTTCGTTATGAGAATGTTAAATTTTGAAATGATTTTAAAATAAAGATATTTATATGAACTAATGAAAAATCAATCTTATTATTTTTTTTTCTGCAAATGATATAATGTGTAGATATTTCATAATCGATTTTTGACTGTAAATATGTCAAACAATATAAGAAAATATAGTGTATCTTGACTAAAAAAGTGCTCGTAAACAATCAATAGAGTTTATTAACGTGTTTTACAGCAATAAAAGAATAGTGTTATAGACTCGTCAACAAATGATGATAATCAAATATCATAAAATCTGGAAATGTTGAAATTTTATTTCTCTTCAAGGATCATTTGAATATATGTTTTAGTCATTCGATGTACACGTTGATTACGTTATTTTTATAGGAAACATTGGAAGTTTCTTATTTTGATACAGTTGGATTACATTTTATGTCTTTCGGTTTTAGTCCAGAAACTTATTTCAAAACAGCAGCTATCAGATGAGAGATAAAGCAGCGTTTGACAAATATAGAGCTGTTCGCGCTGCATCTTTTGATATATCACGCAATAGAAATACAAAACTAGAAGAAAGAATCTCTTCTTCCTGTCAAAAAAAAAGTTTTTTTTTTTGCGATGAAAAATATTGGTCGCACTGAATTTATCTTTTTTCACATAAAAAAAAGCGAGAAGAAAAAGTGATATTAAAGAAAGAAAATCTAAAAATAATCATAATGCGACAGAACGACTCCATGATCATTTGACTTTATCTAGCAGTAATAAATAAAAATGTCTACAGCAGCTTATCAAACCATAATTGAAACAAATCCAGGTAAGAATCTAAATGATGTTAATTAATTTTAGTGGTAATGACGAAACTTGACATAATATTTATTTTTCGACGTTTCGAGCACTTGGTACTCATCTACAGGACACAATATATAATACAGAAGACATAATAATAGTAATAACTGCTATTTTTTAACCACGAGCAAATGTAATAAATTGAAGAAATAGCGAAAATTGACAAATGTTATTGTATCCTGTAGATAATTACTAAGTGCTCGAAGCGTCGAAAAATAAATATAATGCCAAGTTTCGTCATTACCACCAAAATTAACTAACATTTGTCAATTTTCGCTATTTTTTCAATTTATTAATCTAAATGATAATATGTACTATCATTGAATGTAGAGTTTCAATGTGATTTTTTCTCGTCATATACAGACCTCTTTTGTAGCACACATAATATTCTGTCAGACGAATGGAACAATCTTCTTCTTTTTTTTCCTTCCTTTATCATAAAAATAGCAGAAAGAAGAAGAAGAAGAAGAATGAAAGCATGACTGATAATAATATTTTAGTTTTGTTTGTTTAATCCATCTTCGCTTTTATTTTTCTTAATTATGAGTCGTTCAAAAAAACAAGAAACCGGTAGATTTAAGAATTATTTTTCACAATAACAAAAAAAAGTCATCCTATTTTGTTTTTTTCTCTATTAAAACAACAGAGCCAGAACTAAAGCGTAAACAACAACGTGTACTGAAACGTCTGTTTCGATATAGTCGATCCGATTGGCCATTGATTACATTCGGAACAATACTTTTATTAGGCGGTGCCATATGCAAGTAGTAATTTATCAAAAAAAATTGTCTTTTTATTTATTAATTTTAGCTGAAATTTTTGTTCCATTATATACAGGTAGACTTTTGTCTAGTGTTGCATTTAAAGATGAAGCAAAACGATTTAAACATAATTTAATAATGTTTGTTATCGTGAATTTTGTTGGGTAAATATAATCACAAAAAAAATAAACCTTGAAATATAAGATTGAATTCTCTTATCTTTAGAGGATTTCTTGGTGGATTTCGTATTGGTGTATTTGCAATATGTATATCACGTCTTAATATACGTCTTCGAACAAAATTATTTCAATCATATTTACGACAAGAAATTGGCTTTTTTGATACACATGAAAGTGGAAAATTACTTTCACGTCTTAATCAAGATACACAAATAATGAGTTCAACTGTAGCAAATAATATTGCACAATGTATTGGTGCACTTGTAAAATTTAGTAAGTTAAACCACAAAAAAAATGAATCTTTAATTCAAAATATCAGAAGCTGAGGAATTCTCTTACCTGATCATAAACAAAGTTTAATACAAATTTTTTTCTAGTTGGTACATTTGTAATGATGATTAAATTAAGTTTACATTTAACAGTTGCTTGTCTTATTGGTGCACCACTTATATTAATCGTTGCTAAATTTAGTGGAAATGCACATAGACGTATATCAGAAAAAGTTCAAGATTTATCAGCTGATGCATCAGAAATAGCGGAAGAAACTATTCAAACAATACGAACAGTTAGAAGTTTTGGAAATGAAGAGGGTGAATTAAAACGATTTGCTGATATTCTTCATCTGGCTTATAAAGCGTCACTTGTACAAGCTGCATTATCAGCTGCACAAAAATGGTTTGTTGAAGTAAGGAAAATAAGAGTTAAAATTTTGTTCACAGCTAACTATATTGTTTTGGGTGTCATTTAAGTGGTCAGTAAAACAAACAACTCAAAAATCAGTAGAATTATTGAAATGGTCAGTAATTAATTTGATAGGTTCATAATAAAATGTAAACGATCAGTAAATAAAATGGAATGGAAAGTAAAAAAATATGAACTTGTGCAAAGATGGTTTACTTTTCTTTTTTTACTAACAAAAATCATATTTTTTGAGTGTTACTTCCACAAAATCTACTAACTACGTGTGAATTTTTTACTGATATTTTAATTATTTTACTGACCGCAAAATATATTCCCTTTTTTTTTTTTTGTTGAATAGTTAGCTCAACTTGGTATGAGTGTTATCATGCTTTCATATGGCGCGAAACTTGTATATGAAAATCATATTAGTGGACCAGATTTACTTGCATTTGTTATATATCAATTAACACTTGGATCAATATTAAATGTAAGTAAAATATATTTTATTATTTTTAAAAAGACAAAACTTTTTTTTAAAGGATATTTCTCAAATTTATACATCGTTAATGGCAGCGGCTGGTGCTAGCCAGTCTGTATTTGATTATCTTGATCGTAAACCATTACAACTTCCAAATGGTACACTTCAACCAAATGAATTACAAGGTGAAATTGAATTCAAAAATGTATCACTCGCTTATCCAGCACGGCCAGATGAAGTTGCTATTCGGGTAAATTTATTTATTTTTCTTATGCGATTTATTTTTGTTTTTGTTTTCTAGAACATGACATTTCATATTCAAGCAGGTCAAACATGTGCTTTTGTTGGACCATCGGGTTCTGGTAAAGTTCATCAATATTATTATTATTATTTATTTTATACTTTATTATTTAGGAAAATCTTCGTGTATTAATTTACTTGAACGTTTTTATGATCCAAGTAGTGGAACAATATTAATTGATGGTCAAGAAATTCAAGATTATGATCATAAATATCTTCATAGAAAAATAGCGATGGTTGGACAAGAACCTGTTTTATTTAATCGATCTATTAAAGAAAATATTATTTATGCAATAAATGATAATGACAATGATACAGCAATGATTCATGCAGCTGAACAAGCAAATGCACATGGATTTGTTATTGATCTTGTTAATGGTTATGAGACTATGTGTGGACAACGAGGTGGTCATTTATCAGGTTTGAATTTTATTTACCAAAAAAAAACAATATATTTGAAAATTTTCGAATAAAATAGGTGGTCAAAAGCAACGAGTTTCGATAGCTCGAGCTCTTATACGAAAACCAACTATACTTTTATTAGATGAAGCAACATCAGCATTAGATCCTGTTAATGAACGATTAGTAAATATTCGTATTAAAATTATTTCTTTTTTTTTATTTGCTTAAATTAGATTCAAGATGCATTATTTCTAAATAAAAATAAACAACAACAACGAACTATTCTGATATCAGCACATCGTTTAAGTACAATTGAACGTTGTGATAGAATATTTGTTATACATAAAGGTCAATTAATTGAACAAGGTACACATGAAGAATTAATGGAAATTGATAATGGAATCTATCGAGAACTTGTTCGACGACAACAAATGGATATAGACAGTTAATTAAATTAATAGATATTGTTTTGTTTTTGTTTAATCAAGCATTGATCTTATATATTGTGCAATAGTTAAACTAATGAAAGAGATTTAGATTAGTCACAAAAGACAATAATATAATCAAAGACTGGAATTGTATGTTGTTTTTTTAAGATTAAAATAAATATTTTTGTTATATTAGGATTTTATTGATTAGGATATTTTTTTTGATATTAACTTGATCACTGCCGACATCCGACAGGAAAAGTACAATTTATGAAGAGAGAGAGTATACCATAGTGAATGAACAACTGATGCCTCGATGTGATTTCACTGTTGATGATAGTGCTTGTGTCTATATGTCAATTCTTTCACTATGATTAAAAAATAATCAACAAAAGCATCATCAATGGGACGATGTCAGGATTTAATACAAAGCATTCAAAATTATTCGTTAGTATTCAGTAGAGATAGAAGAATTTTTGTATCTATGTTTCCTGTATAAGCGAAACATTTCCTTACACATTTCCTTTTAAAGCTGAAGACCTTGGAGTAATTCCTGAAAAATATATGTTTGACTCCGTTGCTTTATTAATTATAAATGAAAAAAAAAATAACGAGTTCTTGTTAGAATTAATTCTTAAAATATAAAAAAATAATTGACATAAATTATTACAGATTTTTATTTTTTTCAATTAATTAATTAGATGACAGTATTTATTCCCTATGACATCTTCAAACATTTATTAAGACTTTTTTTTCATTGATATACATCATGCAACCAATAGCATAAACTGCATGTTATTGCACAACGACAATGTAATAATGTCAATAATAGAAAAATACCTGTATAAATACGGCAGAAAAAATTTATATTTTATACAATATTTTACCTTGAAATATTCTATATTAACAATGGCAGGACGCACAGCAACGAAACGCAAAGCTGCAACAGACGCTGATACTGAAATAAAACGTTCCAAAGGTGAAACAAATCTATACAATTTAAAATGGTATGAACAAGGTGAACCATTATCTAAAGGTTTTGTTCCATTAGTTTATCTCTATGATGATAAATTACCTGGTTGTTCGAAAGTTGCTGCATTTGATATGGATTCAACATTGATTAATGTTAAATCTGGAGCAAAATTTGCTAAAAGTATTTTTGAAATAAAAATAAAATTTTTTTTTTCTAAATTTCTTTTCTTCTCATATAGATCATGCAGACTGGGTATGGTGGCATGAAACCGTTCCAAAAAAACTTAAAGAATTACATGAAAATGGTTATCGTTTGATAATATTTACTAATCAAGGTGGTATTGAAAAACTACATACAAAATTAGATGATATTAAACGTAAATGTGAAAAATTAATTGAAGAAACCGGTGCACCTATCTATGTATTTATTGCAACTGGTGAAAATCATTTTCGTAAACCAGCAACATCAATGTTTGATTATTTTGTTGAAAATTGTAATCAAAATATTGAAGTAAGTTCAAAATAAATCATTAATGTTATACTATAATATTATTATTGAAATAATAGATTGATAAAAAAAATAGTTTTTATTGTGGTGATGCTGCTGGTCGTATAGCTAATTGGAAACCAGGAGTAAAAAAAGATTTCTCATGTGCTGATAGAAAATATGCTAATAATATTGGTTTATGTAAGTTTTAAAATAGCAACAATGTTATTTTAATTAATTTTTTTCTCATATACGTTCTTTAGCATTTAAAACACCAGAAGAATGTTTTCTTGATGAAGCAGCAACAACAAAATATCAGTGGGGTTCAATTAATCCACGAGAATTTATTAGTAAATTACCTAAAGGCGATTCAAATCAAACTTACCATAAAAATGTAATTACTAAACATAATAGAAAATTAGTTTTTTATAATAATTGTTTTCTTTTCATAGACACAAGAAGTTGTAATATTACAAGGTCCACCTGCATCAGGTTTGTTTTCAATTAGATTTGAATATGCTTTCTATTTAAATTATTAAATTACTAGGAAAAAGTACATTTGCTCGTCGGTATTTCAAACCTCATAATTACGAATTAATTAATCGTGATACACTTCAAACAGCCGCTAAATGTCTTAAAGTAGGATTCTTATTTTTTTCTCATATAATTATTATATTTAATTATTTTAGGCATCAAAAGATGCTTTAAATAATGGTAAAAGTATTGTTGTTGATAATACAAATCCAGGTGCTGAGACTCGAGCAGAATATATCGCTCTAGCTAAATCACATAAAATACCATGTCGTTGTTTTATTCTTAATACACCAACAGAATTATGCCATCATTTGAATTATGTCCGTGTTCATCAAACATCTGGTGATGTTCGTCGAATACCAGGTATGTTATAATGAATTGACAAAAAAAGAAAATTTAATATCGATTTTTTGTTATTGCAGATGTTGGTTATAATATGTATAAGAAAAATTATATTGCACCAAAAGCAAGTGAAGGTTTAGATGAAATTACAACGATTGATTTTGTACCAAAATTTGATTCGGAAACACATGAAAAGATTTTTCATTATTATACAGAATCTTAAGAGAATGTTTTTTTTGCTTCTTGTCTGTTGTTCGTAAATAAATATTAGAAAAAAAACGTGAATTATAATAGAAAATTGTTCAATCTATTCACACGGGAAAAGTAAACTCATTTGAGACTGATATATTAATCTCAACAATATTTTCATAGAAACATTTATCAGTTACTCAATACAAACGAGATAATTATATATTACTTTAGGTATGACCTATAAAGGCCATTAGTTATAAAATGTATGTCAGAATTAAATGTACTAGCTTAATTTCATTTCTGATTTGGAAAAAAAGTCAAGCAGTATAGAAAAAAAAATGTGCATTCTTTCTTCTAAATATCTATGTTGTGATTCAAACTACAAATAACAATTATAATCTGGTACTAGAAAGAAAAAAAGGAGAAAAAAATTTCTTATTAGATTCGTATTTCTTTCGTGTTCTACCATGCTCTAGAGCTAATATGAATGTCTTGCATTATTTTCTTTTACATTATTTCTATAAGATTAACATCGTTTACATTGATCAGGCAATTTTTTTTTCTTATATTCTTAATATATTTCAATAGAAAATCAAACAATAGAAATAAATATAATCCATTCAGTCAAATCGAAACAATACTCAGATAATAATTATACTATTGATACTTGAGAAGAATTCTTGATGTAATTGTATGTAAGATTATAAAATTTGTTTGTCTTTAGTTTTTTTTTCTTGTTAAATAAGAAAGAATAACACTTTGATAAATGAAAGAAAATTTTTCGGTTTTGCTTTATACTCTATAATATTATTTTTCTTCTTCTTGTTGTTGTTGTTGTCAGCTAAGAGAGAAAAAGAAGTTGCAATTTACAGTAGCACCTATTATTAAAGAACTAAATACGGATATAAGCGCGTTAGTTAATGTAAGCAACGAAGCAAATTTAAGAAAAAAAAAATGCAACATGCTATACAAGTGCCCACGATTTAATCAATGCTTCTTTTTTTTTCTCTTCGAAAACAACATCAATTGTGTGTCGTTCATAAGTAGTTCATTCTTGTCATTTTAACGTATATACTACAAAGAAAAAAACGCTACTCCTTTTTTCTCTCTCGTCTTGAGCATCATTTCATGCAAAATATTATTCTTTTTTTTTGTTAAACAGGTTAGTTAAAAAAAACTTTATTTTTAAATATTCTGACAATAATGAAAACATGATTGACTACGAATGATGCCATTTCTTGTTATCTTTTTAAGAAGATATTCAACTGAAAGACTATCGATACTGCAAGCTATATTATTAGATTTCAACCGGTCTTATATACTAATCTTACGAACTAATGTTATTATCAATAGAGCGACAAGTTCGTAGTAGAAGAAGAGAAAAAAAGACAGAAGAAATGCAATGCAACGTTGATTTTTGAGGCTGTTGTTCGTATCGTCCTTTTTTTTTCTTACATAGTAGAACGATACAGGAAAATTGAAGAAGAAAAAAAAGGAAAATGATGATGATGATGATGATGATTGGCGAAAGACATTTATCGTCCAAACTGAAAGAAAAAGATAGCATAGTATGTTAGATGCTCTTTGTGTCACATTTAATATTTATGTCTGTGTAATAATAATAACAGGAATTTGTACTGAAAATAAGTCATTGATGTTCGTTGAATGTATGTTAATCTTTTCATATAACTGATATATTTATTTTGTTTATATTAGACATATCTTTTTAATCACTTTTTTTCCCCTTCTTCTTCTTCTGCTCTGCATTCTTTTTCTCCTCGAGTCATCAGACATACAAATTAAACAAATGATAAAAAACAGGAAAATGGGATGTTGTCTACTATTACTTGATAGTTTTATATACAATCCTATCGTTTTTATAATGATATTATAGATAAATATCTCTATTTGATTTCAGTTTTAATAAACTATAATATTCTTATCTAGATAAAAGATTTCTATATGGAGTAAATATTCCAATACTCCTCATGTTTATATAGCTGTTTAGTTCCAAGGTCATTTAATGACCTTTTTTTGCAGACAGCATACACATTACAAGTAGTTGTTTTCTTTCTTTTCTTTACATTTTGTAGTAAGATACACTCGATAATATTTTTTTGGCGGAACTCGTTTGTTCCGCGCGAATTTATCCTCAACACAGAGACAATATATACATGTTCCTACGAACGAAACAAAAATAGGTTTGATATCGAAATGAGAGGAGAAAAAAACCGCCCAGCAACAACAAGAAAACACGTCTGTTTACATATTATAGGATAGTTCTATTTTGTCTTCTATTATCAATTCTCCAGACATACTTCTCTATGCACACATCTATGGGTTGTCTTCTTTTTCTCCTTCTTCTTTTCTTTCTCTTTCGTCTGAGAGATCAATCTTCTTCATTGATAGTCAGATGCGCTAAACACTTAACTAAATGATTTACGCGTGCCTATATAACGACTCTATTTTCTCAGTTGACACACTATCATAGGCT